ATTCTCGTCTAATAATCATTATCAATAAATTATCTCTCATAGAGTATGTTATTCCTACCTATTATTATAATCAGTATCATGATGTTTTTTATGGTCTTGACGATTATAACTATCATTCAGTGTTGAATGTTTCCATTGAGTTCGTTGTTCATCAGAATCATCATCCCATCCTATTCTTGATGGAAGTTCTAAACACATATCAAAAGGAATTTATATTGCATTTAAGTGTTTTCTCCAAAAATATTTTTTTTTACCTTGACCATCACGAATATTTGATGTGGTATATTGATCAACATTATCAGTCCTATATCTTGTATCAATATTTCGATCTATAATCAAATGAAATGATTCTTACAAATATAACAAAAGAAAAAAATATATAAACTCACGTTGTTTATTTTCTTCTTTTTCATAGACCACCGACAAAACATGATCTATAATAAAGAAAAATTATAATATTATAATCGAATTAATAAAATATGAAATAAATAAAATTTGCAAAAACCAAATATTACCTAATGCTCTATTAAAACTATTCCATACTTCCAACTTGGATAGAAGAATTTTCTTCATTAATTGAATAGTATCCGTTTCCAAGGTCCATGTTAGCCGTTGTGCACCAATTTTATCAAGATCAACTAACATGGACGCCATGACCATCTCATATCCCCCGTCAACCCACTCAATACAAAGATGAGCTTGATTTGTGAAGCAACTATACTTAAGTAAAAGACTTGGTTCAGAACTAATCGATGCACCAGCAATTGCTACAATCATTACAAAAAGGTCTTCAAATTCAGAAAAGGAAAAGCAATTTGGTGGCAAAAGCATCTGATAGAACTAACTGCTGTTAGAAAACTGAAATGCAGTAAGAAAAAAATGCCTACCTTCATCTTCTTCATCATCGGAAATCAGAAAAGTAACAGGTGATAATATTGTTACTTTTTTTTTCAATGAATAATAAAAATATTGTGACCATTCTGACCACCGTTCAATTTCAATATGCACGTTTTCATTGTTCAACATCATGAAGGCGTCACGAATTAAATCAGGAGAATAATCAACACTACCACCTGTTAATATTTGTAAATTTGTTAATTGTTTACATTCTTTTTTTTTTTTCATTTGTTTTGGTGGTTGTGACCAAATAAAATGTGTTATTTCATTTGATATTCTTTCGAGTATAAATTCTAACATTAATGCAGGTGTCGATATATGTAGACCACCTGTTAATGGCGTATGCCATACATATGCAAATGGAATTTTGTCCACATTACCAGTCACGAGAATAAATGTACATGATGATATGGCAGTTGTTCCGATTGTTGTATAACTAATATCAGATTGATCAAACTCTACTTCCACGTCCACGTCTGGTATGAATCGTATTGCTGTATCAACGAAATTTGAAATGATAGTAATTTCAATTTCTATTTTTGATTAAATTTGATTAAGGCTCTGTCACTTTTCAAACAACAATTTTGATCCAGATGTATTCAAGTTCTATGAATCTTTCAAGATATGTTAGGGCTGTAGTGGAAAGGCTATGATAAAAATGTCAGCCGTATATTTTAATGTTTGCAGGAAATATTCAACAAACAAGGGTCAAAAATAGTTCATTTGGTAACTTTATGAGCCTTCGCATTCTATATATTAAATTTGTTTTTGGTTTGAAAGAACATTTCAAGATGTAAATGAAAATTGACGTTTTTCGAGGGAGAGGGAAGGCTTAAAGAAAAAGAAGAATATAAATGTAAAAGCTACCTGTTTGATGATTAATATTTGTTGTTGCATATTGAACAGGTAATGGTTGTAATGTACGTGAAGATAATGTTAACATTTTAGCTTTTTTTTCAAGTAAATAAGCAAGTACACGATCAATCTCTTCTAATTTTAATTGTTTTCCATCAGCTAAAAGACGTAATAGTATTGATAATGGTAATTTGTCTTCATATGATAATGTCGGTTCGACAAATCCAATTGAATTTTTATTATTTAAATTTTCTTTTGATTGACCATAATCAATTGATGGAATATTTTCATTAAGACGATCATTTAAATTAATTTCTTCATTTCGAAAACATTTTTTATAACGAGTAAAATTTGTTAAAATAATATGATAACCATCTTCTAATGTTAAATTACGATGTTCTAAACAAAAAATTGTTTTATTAATTAAATCGAAATTGACAAAAAATAAAACCTTCTGTTTGTCCATAAAGAATATGAAACGATGCAGTACGTTGTTTTTCATGCATTGGCATTACAATTATTCCATAAAGAGATTGTTCACGTGCTGCATTTTTAATTGCTTCTATTAATGTATAATCTTTTCGAAGAAGTATTACAGATGTTGATAAACCATGACAAGCAAGATGAGATGAAATTTTTTTCGCATAATCTCTAGATTTATTTAAAAAATAAATATTTTTAATCTCATTGTTTTTGTTCTGATAAAAAAAAATCAAACTTTTGACGAATATTAACAATAATTATTTGACAATCTACTATTTGTCTTGAATTATCAGGTCCCGATATAACAGTATAACATGATTGTTGATAAAGAGATAATGATTCTTTATTTGAAGATCGATTTAAACCAGTTGAATGAGATCTTGATAATGATAAACAATTACGACGATCACCGGCATTTATTTTCATTTCATTTGAATCTCTAAAATATTTATTTTTATATTTAATATCTATCATAAAACCCCACATTCAATCATTATTATTTATATTAAATTGAACAGAAACAGGCTTAAATTTTACTTGAGATCATCATTCAAACGAAATATATATATATTTTTTTTGTTTTTATTCATTCTAATTAGAAGCATATTATTTACTTAATTGATCAACCTTCTATTATCAATCGATTTCAAAAACTTATTCATAAACATAAACAACTATAGAAATTAATCTCAATCAAGGGGGAAAGTGCAGGCACCCAGCACCCAAAAGTAGCTTTAGGTGCTGGATAGGTGTCGAGGTGCTGGATAAATGCTGAGGTGCTGG